CTGCACATGTCCCAAGACTAGAGTACCATCACAGCACCAGAGTAACACATAAAGCACCAGGAGTACAGCAAGAACCCTCACCAGGCAAAATGAGAACAGAATACAAAGAAACATAGGCTTTGATCTGAAATGACATTTTGCAGAAGAAAACAGACTGGACAAAAATCACATAAGTCAATGGGCTGGGGAGATAGCTCAGTAGAATAAGCGCTTGCCTGGCAAGCGCAGGGTCCTGAGTTCAATCCCCGGTACCACAAAAAAAAAAAAAAAAAAAATCACATAAGTCACTAAACCCCCTCATCAATGTGAAAAATGAATCAAGGGCACATGAAATATTATGTCATGCCCATTTACTGACAAAAATGTAGACACCTAGAACACTACTAAGAACAGGATAGAATACAGACCAATGAGATCATCAATTCTTCCCTGGCACAAGGGAAGCTCTTACAAGCCGTCTGGAATGCAGCGGGAATAACCCTACAAGGCCTACTTTACAGCCTAGAATTCAATCACTGGAACCCTGACAGCATTTTTAAAAATGCCCTATCTTGTGGAACGTAAGCACACAGGGAACGGACAGCGACACCGCTAACGAACATGAAAGCACACCCGGCTCAGCAAGGAACTGCTGTGGGAACACGACCTCAGCACGGCCACTTGCTTACTTCTTCTATTTCCTTCAAACATAAGGAAGTGAGCGCAGGTCTATGCTGCAGAAGACGAGTCACGCCTGGATCTGGGTGCGGAAATCGGCCGTGGTGGGAGAGAAAGCCTGCCCACGGGGAAAACTCCTGCTCTTCTGGGACACACAGCTTGGCCACACAGGGGTGGCCAAGGCCTAGTCCCGGGGAGGAGCGTGGAGGGAACTGGGGTTCCGGGGTGTGGGTGTGAGATCCCTCCCTCTCAGCTCTGAGCCAGCTGCAAAGAAGGCAGGACCACCCTAAAGGCACAGACTGACGTCAGAAGGTGCCCAGGTCCGCGATGAACCATACGGTACAGAGCTCCCGAGGCACCTCAGACTATGGTATGATTGAGAAATATACAAGATGTGCTTGAAAAGCAGAGGGAAGGCTTATAATAAAAATCTAAACATGCATTACAGTAAAAGAC